ATAGATTTTTCTTTCTATCGTGGTAATTTACGTTATCATGATTAGTTACGCGATTCTCATTTTTCCAAATTTAGTCCGCATTTCATGAATTTCTGCTGTTGAACACCAATTCACTGAATGAATATGCAGTTTTTTCTACTTATTAGCCAGAATAAGGTCACATTCACGTTCAAGAAGAATTCTTTTAAGCGAAATTAATCAGCATTTGCGCAAAATGGGAGTAAAAACCTTTCCTGGTTAGCCCGATGCCAATGGAGCTCGGATATGTTTCTACCAAAGTATCATTTGCAGCAGCACTGCAATCCTTGCTGGCAAGGAGCAAAATAAAATTTAACCATCTATCTCTCAGATTCATTCATATGAAGACCTAATCTTACTCCGCTGAGCCATGCCGATTTTTATAAAAAAAGTAGCCATTAGTTTTGTCAGTAGCCATTGTACGCTTATCATTAAGGATTTAACACTTAATATTTTAATATTATAAGATAGGTAGGTAGATACTTTATTTCCGTCGCACAATAAGCTTGTGGCGACGGTCGGGGAAACATTCCTAAGGATGAAACCGATGATATGCCATCGCTATTTTAATCCTATGCAGAGAGGATGGCTTCCCTGCTTTGGTAGCACAACAACCTACGCGCGAAGTCGAGCACTTTATGGTAGAACAGTTTTACGAGGACGACACCGCGCATCCTCGGTTCCTACGCAGGCTGATCAAATTGATCCTTGACTTCGGTGTTTACTGGGATGATCAGTCCACTGTGGGACAAAATATTATACGGGGTTCAGCAATTAATTTTGTTTAAATATTATTAATTGATGACCCTCTTCTTATTCACAATTTAAAACGTAGTAATCCGAAAGAAAAATTTTTGATAATATGTATAACAGATAATTATGTTAATTGGTGCTGTTTTTGTATGTACTATATACATATCACTCTACCTACTATGAGTACTGGGGAAATAGTTTTTTTACAGTCTACGGGATGGGATAAGTATCGGAGAAAATTGTTGATTACTGTAAATTTTGACTATAAGGAGTTGGTCTCGGGTAAAATTATGCCGAATGATACTGAACTGTGTTAATCTTTATTTTAAGAAGACGAATTTCTAAAAAATGTTTTGCTTAATCCAATAACGTAAAGTCGTCAGGAAAGGCAAAAGTGGTATAAAATATTCTGGCAGACTGGTAAAGCAAAACTGATAGAATAATTTTTAAAAAAAACTGGTATTTTTTTAAGTTAACTAGTTGTGTCCACACATTTCTTTCAATTTTGTGCATGATTTCGTAATGTTGATCATTACAAATTCATTGCTTATTTAGTTTTATTGCAAAAAGAAAAACAAGTATGTATTCAACTAGTAATAATAATAATAAACGAAAAAAGTTGCAAGATTTCTTTGTGCAATGTGACTTTTCTTAGAAAAATTAAAATTTTTTACTGAACAGTGTATCTGAAACACAAACTAATGCGAACTAGAAACAAAAAAAAATTGCACATTGAAGCTGTTAAGGGTTACTCTTTTTTTGTCTTTTTAAATTATTGATTCATATAAATATATGAATCAATAAATTCCTCCTTATGTACGAAATATATAATAAATTCCTCCTTAATGTACGAAAGCTTTTGTTTCAAGTTTTTAATTTTCACCAATTTTTTTTCGCTCTGTGCCTTAGCATTTAATGCCAAGCAACAGGGTTCCCACTCTTTAAAAAAAGCAAAAATTAAGCACTTTTTTTGAAAAATTAAGGACCTTAAAAACAGTATGATAGTTTACAATACCACCAGCATACCATCGAGCATACAATACCGCCAGTGACAGTGGTAATTATTTATCTTTCTTAAAAACGAAAATCAATCAATAAAAAAATAATAAAAAACATTTTATTACAATGTAAGTACTGATATAATTGTATTAATTAACAGAGCTCGCCAAAGTAGGACCAGGAAATTTCTACAAACCTAGGTTGGTTTTTTTTTAAAAAAATATTTTCAGTTTGTTAATGGTTAACGACATCTATGAAACTAATCCATATTCCATTTTTAATGATTTCATAGAAAAATTAAATGCAGAAATTAAGATTTGAAAATTTTCATATATTTAAAAAAAGAAAATAAAGAAATTTGGGAAAATCATTGAAAGGAATTATTACAAGTTTTTATATTTCGCTACTAGACATGCATCACATATTCAGTTGTGGGCCTATCCTACAAATATTCAATTACACCAAAAAAAATTCTTTCTTTTCTATTAATAAAATGTTTCATTTATAAGGGTAGTTTTAGTTACTATGCCATGTCAAATTAAGTCCTGTTTCAAGTAAAAACAAGCCATACTAATTTCTAAGCACAATAAATCATTCTGCTTTTATCATTAGGCTTAACTCAATATTTTTTTAAAATTCATTGCAATAAATATTTTTAAAGAATAAAAATATAATTATGTTTGAGAAGATTTATAATTTTCAAACCAATATGTTTTTTAATTAGTTCTCGGTGAAACATAAAAATAAAAGGGTCTAAAATGATTCTTCAAAGCTATCGTCAAACTCAAAATAAAACTCTTGATATTACATATTCAAAGTAATAAAACTATCTAGAAACTACATTTGATGCAAAAACAGATGATGAAATAAAGATTGGCAACATACAGAAATGTGTTGTTGTTGAAATCCTAGAATAACGCTTATTACTCCTCTTGTAAAGTAAATATTCTGGTTTGTAATGTTTGCCATTTTCGATTAGTTGCAAGCATATAATATTGTCCTTATAAAAGGATGATATCAAAGGTTCCAAAAATGAGAAGAGATTTTAAAATATAATTAAATGAAAAGATATAGAAATCTATGGTTAACTAGGTTTTACATTCTCATAAAGTCGTAAAGCTTACCAACAAATGGCATTGCCTGTTAAAAATATTTAACATTATTCTGCAGCATGTCAGACTATTCAAAATAAAAATAGAGCATGTTCATTTTGTTCTCAGACCTCAATGTTGTTACAAACATGGCTATTTTAAAAACACAGTTTAAAAGCTTTTATTAATTAGCAAGGTCATTTGTCGATAAATTTTGTAACTAATTTTGAAACTTTATGGAATCTATTATTATCTATGTTCTTATGCAGAAAACAATGTATTTTTTTATTTATCTCATTCTGTGTTTCTTTTATTAATTTTTCAATAAGTCAGTCAGTCTAAGAACTTCAATATCATCATTGAATGATAAAGTATAGAAATAATCTACTTTCACAATGCTTTTAAGAAGGATACAAAATTCTTTTTAAATATTCATCAATTAAAAAAAATAATAATTATATATAGTATAAAAATTATAAACTATTTAATAAATATTGTTATTCAAAATGTAATAAAATGCTACATGAAATGACTTAATACGAATTTTTTTTTTTTAAAATAAAAAATATGAAATCTACCTTCATATTGTTGATAAAAAATTCTTAACTTTAACAATAAAAATATATGCCGCACTTTTAAAATATGCTATAGTTATGTGCTGTATTTTCAAACTTTAACATAAAAAAACAATATACTTAAAAATTTAAAGAATTTCTTTTTTTCTAACTGCCTAGAGCATGTTCTTAATTAAATTTATCTTAAGTTCCACAAGGGCTACAATAACTTAAAATCATCTAAGTTTAATCATTTAGCTCCATTTCAAGCCAAGTATTCCAAGACTTAAGGTATTAATTTAACATAAGGTATTAAAAACTCTAGGGTTTATAGAATAAAGCTATTTTTACAAACATTAAAAACTTTATGCAGTGTAAAACTAGAGATACTTTTACACATGTTAAAAATAAGCAATATTAATTGTTTCAGCAAAAGTTTAGGCCAATACAGACATTGAAGTGACTGATACACAATGACTAAACAACAACCCAGACATATTATCAGGGGTGATTGTGAGCCAAAGTCAAAATTCTGGAAAATTTCACAAGTTTTTTTAAAAAAAAAAAAAAACAGTTTAAATTGAAAAAAATTTAAACAAGTTTTTTTTTCCTTTTTCTCAAAATTTCTTAGTTTACTTAAAATATATTTAAAATTTTACACATACCTATAATGACCTGCAGAAGTAATTAAAATTTACAAATATGTCTTTCTTTCTTGAGTTTATGATNGTTAAATCAATGAAGTGTATCTCAATTAGCTATATTTTTTCCAGTTTCTTAGGAACACAGGGTTCAGCAAAAAAAAAAATTCAGTACCAACAATTTTTAACAGAACTTTAATTAAATTTTTTGTTACTTTTCAAAAGAAAAATCTTTCTACAAGAACACTGTAACGTTCTGCAACAATATTGCCGTGTCACTGCAATTCTGTCACAGTGTTATTTAGTAATATGCTGGTTAAACCATCAGTGAAATTGGCAGTACTAAAAATTGTGAAAAATAGAGCACAATTAACTCTTAGTATTTTCCAGGATGAAAACTTGCATAAATTCTAAAACAGTAAGAATGTGAGTTTTTTCAAGATGTTTACATGAGAGGCAAGAATTTATTTATCGAGAGGGACTTAAAAATGAGTCAACACTCAAAATAAAATTTGGCGTTAAAATTAAAAGTATCAGTTTTAAAAACAATCACATGTAAAATAACCTATGTGAATAAGAAAAAATATCTTTAATAAAATAAATTAAAAAAATTAATGGTCAATAATAAAAAATATTAAACAACATGCACTATTTGATGATTAAAAAATAAAGGATTCTCATTTCACAGATTAATATAGATATATAAACGTATAAAAACAAATATTATTTGCTCTTTGTAAGACATATGTATGCTTGTAAGACATATACTCAGTGTGTTCTCGTTATATAGTTTGAAAATACATTAAGGCAGAAATATGATTATTGCATAGAATTAAAAATGATGAGAAACATGTCAGGTTTGAGCAATGAAGTAGAAAACAGAAAAATTGTTAAAATGATCTCATGTCGCTTAAAATGTAAAATAATGCAAAAGAATACAGAAATTATAAGCTATAAAAATTTATTAAATATAACAACAGCTTTATATTGCCACTAAAAAATTTTGTAACAAGACAAATATTATCTGCTTGAGATTCTTAAAATGTAATAAAATCTAGTATAAATTTAAATTGCATAGAAAATTGTACAAAAGTATAAATTAAATGCAGTAAAGAATCGGTTCTCAAGAATGGTGACTTAATCCTCATCTTTTTCTTTAGCACCATGTTTTAAAATGCGGGTGAATTCCAGGTAGTTAAACATCCCATTTTTGTCAATTGGTGCTTCTCGATACATTTCATCAATCTAAAATTTAAGATAAATAAAAATTGTAAAGCACATTAAGTGAAAGATCATAAAAACAAAATGTTAAATTAAAAACATTAACATGAAAAAATTTGAAAGTATGCTATTATATTTGTTTATGCATAGTAATTATGATGTTTTATAATTATGCATAATAATAATGATAATTTTTTATTACAGAATGCATCAAATAAGATTATTTTGTTCAGTATAAATATTATTAGCTTTTTCTGTAAAGACTCAAAGTAAAAATTTTTCGCAGTTCATCTCGAGGCATTAAAATATATATAAGAATTTTGTTTTTGATTTTGGGCAATTTTTCTTTTTGCTGACAAAAATAAGCATATTCTTAACTTTTTTGTGCTCATGCAGGACATTTTTGTACTTTTAAAATGGAATTGTTTGCCAATACAGATCAACTTATTTACGTCGAGAATGTAGGGAACATTATTATTAAAAATGAAAAGGACATCATGAATTAAACGCCACAAAGTTAGCAATTTTTCATCAAAAATTTCATGTCTTCAGATGCGAACTATGGTGGTTCAATTTCTCTTTCTTTATTTCTCTCAAATTCTGCTTAAATAAAAATCTGGTTATGTATATGTACATAGACAAATGAGTAACCAAAACATCAGAAGATACCTGTAGAATCTATTGCATAGCGAAATCTGTTAGCAATTGCAATCACCATATTAATACTTAGCAATCATACTAGCCCCTAGACTGCAACTGGTTGTATGATTCATAGCAGATAATAAAAATGATTGAACGTTATTTCTCTTCACTGCTTATCTACATGCAATTTTTTAACAAAAGAACTGTTTAACTTTTTTGAAAATAATGGAACTTCCAGAAATAGTCATATACTTTTTTCTGGAAACTTCAATAAAATAATTTTCAAGAAATGCATGAAAAATTAATTCAAAATATACACGCAATAACTGAGTTTTCTGTAGTTTTTAACATTAAACTAACCATCTTTTAAAAGTTCTTTATTTGATATATCATAGCATTCAACTACTGCGAAATTTTTGTAATTTCGGAAAATATTTTTCTTAGACCAGATCAACCAGACTCTTCCAACCAGAGGAGTTAATATAGCCTAAGCTGTCAATGCTTTTAGGTTGCAGCGTGTTCCAAAGCATTTTTAAGCTACTGTAGAACTGCGATTATCCAAGGAATTGTGAGGCTAGATCACAGTAGATCATGGATCACAGTAGACACAGAAAAATCATGGATAATCCAAAAAACTTAAAAAGCAAGATGGAGATATGTATTCATACACGTGTATTTTAAGCGTATAACAGAAATCTTTGTTCCATACATAAATCACTGAAATAATCAATGGTATAAATACATACCTGCTTCATAAAATTGTTCATACATAAAAGTGTTTAGTTATACATTTTAAAGGAAAAATCAGAAACTAATCAAGTGCAATATAATTTTTGAACTCTTTACAATACACATGGACAATCGGGGTTCTACTATAATTGGTTTGATACATGTAATTTATTCTATTAAATCAAGGTGCATATAAATAGTAATCGTCCCCACTTAATCGCCCCTCGGATAATCCAATAACCCGCTTATACAAATAAAATTTAATGGAACCAAATAATTTTACATTAAACTAATGTTAAATTTCTCCGTTTAAGCGGTTATTTGTTGTTTTTTGCCCCCGCTTAATTGCATAAAGAAGTGGTACTGAAAGGAAAAAATTCGTTTATTTTGAGAAATGTTTCACCAGCTAAAATACAATTTCCCTTTTTAAGATAAGGATACAAGATGGTAATTTCAATAGGGACTTCTTATTCATTAGTAGGTGTTTGGGATGAAGTTGAAAAATTAATCAAATCTTGCTGCCAGTTATACATTGTAGTTAAACGAAGGGTGTTTTACTCCTCTTTGACTTACTTCACTCGCACATAATTTAGTATGTGAAAAAGGGATAGAGTGATTTGTTTTTAGGTCAAGACTTGTGGTCCCCTCTTGATGCATTATTAAGTTTTAAAAACCTAATACACTAATTTAAAGACTGTTTTCTCTTAAGTAGAATAATTGCTTAATCCTGTGAATGATTTTGAGTGGGTTGCAAGTTGAGAGCGAAAAGAATTTAAATTAATTGAAAAAAAAAACAAAAAAACAATGAATCTTAGAATTAATAAATTTCAAAAAAATCCCCAACTAAATTAGCGCATTAATTAAGAATTTCTCAAGTTTCGAAGATTTAAAAAAAAAAAAATTCTGAATGTGTTTGAAAGTACAAGTCATGAAAATTTTAGTAGAAACTAAAAGGGAAAATTTAATTTTTATAAATTGACGAATTAAACGGGTACAAAAAACAGTCTTCAATTGTAGAATTTTTCGGATGGGATCAAATAATATTTTAGTTCCAACATGATTCACCAACATTGATTTATTTTTATGTAACTTCAAATGATATTTTTTAATGATACTAAGGCAGAAAGTTTTAATTATAATTATTTATTGATCATAAAACTGAGTTTATTTAATCAAAACGCTACACTACGCATTAAATGACATTAAAAAGTAAAATTTCACAAAAATTCAGAATTTAAGATTGATTATAGCACTCCCCTTTTAATCGAATAACCCGCTTAATAAGCATAGATTTGGCTGGAATCGATGGTATTCCTCCAAATCGGGGTTGGGTATCGGGGTTGACTGTACATTAAAACTGTCTGTAAATAACATTTCAATATATTTGAAATATCATTTTACAGTAAGTTTATGCTTGCAAGATAATTAGTTTAAACATAATATAAAGGCATTCCAATGAAAACCTAACACCCACAATTAAAAAAATTCCTCCTTAAAGTTATCATTATTGTTGCTACATATTGATATTGCCCTTTCTAGGGTAAGAGAAATTCAAAGTTTTGCATAGTGTTCCTTCATGGCTAAAGAGATAAGCGCAGTGAAAAGCGTGTTTATCCAGTACAGAAAATAGAGACAAGCAAAGAAAAGCAGAAAGATGTGGTTGGCTTTTTGGTGACTAAGAGCATTGAAACATGCAAAATTAATCACTGCGTGTCTGATGTGAATGGTGAACACTATTTGCTCACGTATGAGTATCATAAGTGACTTGGTGAAGAATGCTTATCATAGCAATTCTATTAGCAAGCAGGACAGGCTATTTTGCTGGATGTGATTATGTGTACTATATCATCTGATTTCCGAAAACAGGCAAATCACTGATAATGAAATACTTGTTCAGACAGGTAATTATCAAAGATCATATACAATTGTGCAAAATTCTTGCTAAGTGGGTTAATCAACTGATGAAGGGACAAAAAGTTAACAGAATGGCTGCATGCTTGAATCATTTGCTATGGTGAAAGAGTGGGCCTTTTTGTCACATATCATCACTATCAACAATATAGAAGCCTTCTTTATTTCTATGGCCACAGTTAACAAAATGTGGTGAGATTATTTAGAATTTGAGAGCAAAAGGCAAATCTAACAATGGAAACTGAATTAGATTTCCTGCAACTAATAACAAGCAAGAACGGTTGAGATTATGTATTTGTCAGAAACCTGGCTCTCTCTTAAAAATTAGAAATGATGGTCTCAATTTTCCAGAGGGATAAATGTATTAATGATTTTAACAATTCTTTATGAATTCTATTTTCCCTTAGTTACTAGTGTTCTATTTTTTTTCTGACTACCTTTTATAAATATAACAAGAATCCAATGTCTTTTGTGAAAGTATGAAAATCAAAATTCAATCTGCTTCTTTAGTTTAAAGTGCCCAGACTTTGTTTCCAAAAATTCTGTAAAAATTTAATGAATATATTTTTGAATACCCCCAAGAATTATAAATACAACAGTCTCAACAAGTTAGAGTATTGAACACTTTGATGAATTTTGAATACAACACAACACAAATATGAAAAATTCTTATACAGAGCTAGGGGAAAAAAAATAAAGTAAAAGAGCTATTAGTATCAATGATAAATGAAGTAATTTAAAGTCAATATTAGAAAATTTCAAATCCCTTACGTCTTCTTCAGAAAATCTTTCCCCCATGGTAGATAAAAGCTCTCTTAATTTGTCTTCATGAAGAATGCCATTATTATCCTCATCAAAACAAGCAAATGCATTTTTGATAACATCTTCAGGATCAGTTCCCTGGAGACGTTCTCCAAATAGAGTAAGAAACATTGTGAAGTTGATGGGACCTGGAGCTTCATTCATCATCCCTTCCAAAAAATCATCTGCAGGATTTTTTCCTGTAGGAAATATGGAAAATAAATTTTAATGGTATACAAAATAATCAATTATTAAAGAAAAATATGCAACTTAAATACTCAATTATGTTATATAGCATGATTGAGTATTTAAGTTGCATATTTTTCTTTAACTGATTGAACCTTATTTGAATGATGAGTTATTAAAACAAGAAGTTAGTCACACTTTTATATCAAATTAAGTTACTCCTATCTTAATTTAAAACTAGTACACATGTAGCCTATTTCTACTGCCTATCATAACGCATCACACATCTAATAAAATAGAAAAATAATGCAATTATCAGAATTCAGGATCTGTGTCTCAAAATGAACAAAAATAGATTTTGTCCATTATTCAAATGTGTGTTAGATTTTTTACCTTTTAGGCACATTTTCCTGACCCCTAAAAAATTGAGCTCCCAGAACAACAAACAATTCAAATCAATTTTCTAAAATCTAAGCAAATAATTTTTTAATGTTATTCTAAAATGCCTGGCCCATTAAAAGATTTGTTTTAAGACCATTTATATGAAAAGAAAAAAAAAACCTAGCAGTCCATTTTTAAGTACCCATATTTGCTTTTAAATTCTGTTTGTTTAATAATTGACAAAATACTACATATTTAAGCCAGTTCCCAAGTAGTTATATGCAAAATAACTTGTAATAAGGGGAATAACTTGTAATAAGGGGAATAACTAGTAATAAGGGGAAACTTTTGAATGTAGTAGTTTAGGTCCAACATTGATATCTGAAGTTTAACTTTTCCCCATAGAAGAGCTTTATTGGCTATCTAGAATCTTCAGATTAGAAAAATAGAGTGTTTTTCACGTTGACTAGACAGAACTATACTATAACTGTTCATAGAACTATTACTAAAGAATATATCAGGGGGGGGGGGGACAACTCGCGAGCCACATGCAACTCTTTGAAGGATTATTTGTAGCTCTCGATAAATGTACCGGAGTTCCCCTTTCATTTTTGTGCTATTATATTTTTAAAAAAACTATTATCATTCTGTACGTGTTTCAAAATGTCTTTTAAATTACTGACAACAAATATGAAAGACAAAGTGCTACATTGTAACAAATTTCATTTCCGTCCAAGTTAAGAATGATATGACTCATTGAAAACTGCGTGAACGAACATAAATAGTGGCGTAATTGACCAACTCCAGACCGATTAACATGATCTACCAATAATTTATTCTTATTTTCTAAGAAAAAGTAAAATCCGCAATGACATTTTGCAACATAAACAAACAACTATTGTTGACAAGGCGACACTTAATTTTTTTTTGCTGCATCTCACAATCATTAGAGATGCAAGAAGATCAAGCTCTACAATTAAAATATAAATTGACGTTAATTACTGAATTTTGGAAATTTAAAACAGAATTGAAGCATCCTAAATTAAAAAAGGCTGCTTGTTGAATTATTTTAATATTCGGACCAACATACTGATGTGAATTATTTTATTACACTTTAAAATTCGTAAAAACCAAACACTGATCAATATTAACTGACCAGCATATCAAAGAATTATGAGAGTGCTGTCACCAATTATTCACCAAATTTTAAAGAATTATCAAGAGAAGTAAAATGCATTTAATTTTTAATATTCAAATTCAATACACATATTTTGTACTATGTATTTAATTGCGGCTCGCGAAAAATTTCAAATTTTGAAAAATGGCTCGATTATCAAGGAGCTTGGCCACCCCTGGAATATATAAAGGTTTTACTTCTAAGTAAAAAGAGTACATCTTTATAATTTATGCTTTACTAGAAATTGTTTAACCAGACATACATGAACTCGATATACTTTTTATCTTTAATTAAATTAAACTAAAACAAGTCAATTGGACTAATAACTAATAGGTAAAAACAGTATTTTTGTCTACACAATAAAATTTTTTTATTTTAAAACCTAATTATGTATCTGAGATGTGATCAAGTGAAATGTAGTTTTAGTTTCCAGTGTTTTTTTTTCTTTTCTTCCTTAGATACCAAAATCAAGTGTCAGCATTTCTAATTTTGAAGTTATACATTAATGGGTTTAACTTTGAAACTAGAAAGGCATAGTTGAAGGTCTATAGAAGGGAATAAAAAAAGTAAACTCAGTGGCGCGACAGCCCATTGAGGGCCAAGGCCTACTGTGCCCATCTCAGTTTTCTTGACCTTTTAGAAGGGAATAGAATCTATTTATTTTTTAATGAAGAGCTACATGTTTAGTCCTAAGTTAAATATTAAAATTTTTACACAAAATAGCTTTAAAGCTAAGAGAAAATAAATTAAATAGGGGTTAGAAATTTAATAGTGTATCACATTAAAAATGATTTTGATCAATCAGCTTTATTAAAAAAATTAAAAACAACAGTGAAACAATAGATAAGAGATAAAAGTAAATATTGGCTCCTTTTAATTATTAATTGGTTTTTTAAATATATAATTGGTTCCGTTTAACATACAATCAGTTCTTTCAAATATTAGAAGATAATTCCTTTGAATACTAGTTCTAATGCTTAAACTAATTACATATACTAAAGCCTTTTTAGACTGCAAATGTATAAATCTATTAAAAAAAACAACATTAATTTGCCTAAAACAAAAAGTAGAACCATAAGAAGGTACACAAGAGCAACAGGTACTTATTCATTAACGATGGTCATAAAACCTAATATCTTAATGTAGGTACTCAAGTACTGAGTAAATAAATTTCAGCAACCCTTTATAATGAACAAATAACAAAAACTTTTCAAGCAAGAGTACTTGTTTATAAAAAGGTTTTAAAATTAAATGGGTGATGTAAACAATAAAATGTAAAAAAAAAGGATTAAATTATTGAAATAAATTTACCTAAGGATGCCAGAGTATCATGCAAGTCCTCTTTGTCAATAAAACCATCACGGTTCTGATCAATCATGTTAAAAGCTTCCTTAAACTCTTGAATTTGAGCTTGATCAAATATCGCAAAAACATTGGAAGTTGCTCGCTGAGCTCTTCGTTTTGTAGTACTTCTGCCTTTTGCTTTACGACTTGACATGTTTTCTTTTTAATCTAAAAACATAATATACATTAATAAAAACAAAAGTCATAATAATCGAAACAAAAGAAATAATTAAGAAAACAAAAGTAATAATTATGAAAACAGAAATAATAACAATAAAAGTATAATGTTTTTACGATTTCGTAAAACCGATACAAGGTGAAATAAAGAAAAAGTGAAATAAAAATAAAGTAAAGTAGTATTGCAAGAGCAACAGTTCTTTATTCATAATGCACATATTGCGTCACTTTAAGTCACAATAGCTGGCAATATTCCATGTTGAACAAGAGCCATGTTGTATTCTTTCGTGAAACAAAGGTGAATGAAACTTTTTCCATGGAAACTCTTAAAAGTAAAGCCGTCTCATCATCTACTAAATATAGTAACACATTGTCAAAAGAATATCTTAATACAGATTGTATGCTTAAACTATTAAATAATAAAAGTAAATTGTAGTTAGATACCAGTAAAAATTTATCTTTAAGTTCTACTCTAAACTATTTTAACTTACGAATTTTTAAAACAGGATAGAAGATTATCAAGCAAATATAAAAATTCAGGTTTGATCGTCTCTATGGTAGCTCGTAAATAATATACAGAAAATGTGAGTTATAATGAAAGTTGATATTACAATAACTAGAGCAAAACCAAAAAAGGAAATCCCCTATAAAAGTTTTGATTACCCTTTTAGGAATGAATGCAGTGAGGTCAAACAGCGTCACAACCACAACAAAAAATTCCTTACAGCAGACGCTATTCTTCCGAAACCAATTAAGAAGTTTTGTGCTGCCATTTAATTGGTTGCATAACAAACTTTATCATAAAATGTAATTTTCCTTAGCAAATCAATAAATATTTAAATAACCAAGAGAAGATTTAATACTAATTAATAACGAAATATGAACTAATTTGCTTATTTAATTTCTGGAAAAAAAATTAATCAATTTTGAGATGAAGTGGCAACTTGAAAGTTTAGAATAATATAAATGGCATCATGCACTCATTGTAAACAAAAGTCCTCGCCGCTGAAGCTGCTGGAACGTCGAAAAATATCTAGTTTCTAAAAACGAGCATAGACTACGATTTATGAAAAATAGAAAAAAAGCGTTCTGTTATAAAATAAAGAGTCAATAATTTATGATTTTCAAAATCTTTCGATGAGAGATTATTATTGAATCTTTTGACAACAGTTAGTTAGTATATTTCTTTTAGAATTGTTAGCTGATTAATTCTCTTGTGTAAGACTTTTTTTATTATTAGATTGTATGCAATTTATTTGACATTTTATTAATCTAATCAATTGATTAATTGGGACCCCGATTAATTTATGATATATTTTATTGAAGTCACTCTCAGTGATAATTTTTTTTTTAAAAAAAGCTTGTGCTATGTCTTAAATTAAATTAGTTTGTCACTAATTTGTTTCTTTTCAAGTGTTCTGTTGAATTATTTCATTCAACTAGGGCAAAAAATTTTTTTTATCGAGTATAAATGTCTTTCCTTGGTTGTGATATCCCCCCCCCCCATTTTTTTAAGAGTATTATATCATCTATTATCAGACTTTAAAAAAGAGGTTTGAAGGATTTTTGGTGTGTAAAATAATTAGCTGCTAAAGAGGCTTGTTTTGATTCGATACATTTTGTGAAATGTTTTTTTTTTAAGAAAAAAATTCTTTTTATGGGAATACTTTTGAAATTTAATTAATGTGTAGTTTATACATATAAAGTATGTAAAAAGACTTGTTCCGCAAAAAGTAATTTTAAATAATCATTTTTTTTTCCCTCTATTTTCTGAAATTTGTTTTTTACTTCATTTGATATGATTATTTTCATTTTGTATTTTCTAATTCATGAAGGTGTTCACTTGAATGAATTATATATTTTTTAATATTAACCAGTGATTAGTTTGTGATAATAAATAATAGTGTTAGAAATATTAGTCTTTTGGTTGTAATATTGTTTTTAAATAATATTAGGCATTTCAATGCACTTTTTCAAAGCTATGAATGATTAATGTAAAAAAGAAAAAAAATATATAAAGAAGCCCATATAAATAAATCAAATTTTTTGTTTTCATAAAATTTTACTACCATTATTTTGCCCATAAGAGGTTTTGCTTTTCCATATTTTAATTGCAAGTAATTTAATGTTTTCTTTTTTTGAGATTCTGTTTCATGATATTTTATAAATGCTTATTCGATAGCCTTTTTTCTATTGAGCTCTTTGATCACAGTCATAACTAAATTTTGTTCTAAATTTATTAGAATCATTGGGCGATCTTAATTTATTAATTTTTTTTCAGCTAGGTGGCACAAGAAAATTTAAATATTATATTTATTTATTTGGCTGTTGTATGCAATGGAAATTTTGATTTGTGTTAAAAAAAAAAGTAGTTGAATTTATCTGCGCCCAGTTTTGCCATAAAATATCAAATTAATTTATCGAATTTTATTCCCTAGAAATAGCCACCTCAAACATTTTTCTTTATTTTTAAAATTATTATTCTTACTGGGAAGTTTTGTTTCTTTATATTTTTGATTTCTCTGAATAAAAATGTTTTAGCCTTTGCTCTTAAGAGCCATGTTGTATTTAATCTTTAACTGTATAATTGAAATATAATTTTTAATTTCAAAAGTAAGTCTTTTAATAGAACCAAAAGTTTTAATAATTAACAAAATTAATAATTATTTTTAGTGTAAGGCTTTGGACAAACACCCTATTTGTCTAACCTCTATGTTTAGTGAAATAAAATATTTTATATAATTTCATTAAAAAAAAATGCCAATTTTAACTAAATAAGAAACATTTAGACATGACATATTTTGACAAGTGAAATCTTTTGAATTCTATAGATAATCTGCAAAATATTCTTTAAAATTTGTTTTCTTTCAGTTGTTGTGATATCCAATTCCACTGATAATCTGCAGTACTTTATTACATATGTTTTGTAGACATTGTAATGTTGTTGTTTTAATTTGTTTCTATGTTATAATGTATGTATATAATTTGTTGACCTATGCCTGTTTAGGCAGAGGGGGTGCAATTGTTCTTGTTTTCCAGTGGTGCCATCTATGGCCGAGAATTATATATATAATTTAAAATTTTATATACAAATATGCATGTAATGTATACATTTTTTTTAAAACTTATTTATATTTTGTTATTTAAGATGTGGATGGCTGGATCTATTTATTCTCATCAAGAAGTGTATGTAGAGACTGTTTTTGAAGATACCAAAAATGTCTGTGTGCTTTCAAGAGTCCAACTTAAGTAATTAACTACTTATTTTAAAGAGCTTATTTAAAATGTTGAACGCGCACATGTTGAAATTTTTTAATACGCTTGATTTAACTTTAATGTTTTAAAAGAATTTTTTTTAGTTTATAATTTTAATGGTTATCTTTCTTTCATTAAATTCCTTATGCACTTCTTTATAGATTTAAGTAGTGTTTTGTTTAATATATATTTTCAATTATGTAGGTTTCGTTAAATTTAGCAAATGCAATAGTAGTTACCTTTAGTGTGCTTTTTTGTGAATACCATTTGAGAAGTTCTCCATTAAACAGTTTTTTTTAATATTTATATTCCATTATGTTTTTATTCTTGTAATAATTTTATCTCCGATTTCTACAATTCTGAACCATCCTTATAAGACATTGTTTTTATCTTTTATCTGATAAAAGGAAAAAAAGAAAATTACTGAAAAAATGTATAGTCTTTAGAAATTAAACTCTTTGTGGAAACGGTAAGAAGCTTTCTTCTAGATAATTTTTGTTATCTTGCATCAGAGAAGAGTCCAGGAATCATAAATCCTTGTAGAGTTCAGCAAGATTAAAACAGTTAGAAACAGACAAATGTTTGTTTTGAAGATGAGGACACAAGATATTAAAATTCATAAAGTCCCCTTTACAATAGAGTGGACAGTCTGGAGACGAAACAACACAACAGTATATGATGTTCAGGGTATAAGTTTCCATGTAAAAAGTTGTGGGAAGGGGTGATTCTGAAGTTTACTCTGTATTGTGCCTTAAATGTCTTAAGGCAGGGGTTTGTCCAGACATTTTGTGAAAGGTCCGATTTTGTAAAATTGTGAAAAAATTACTCGTAATTTGGGAATATAAAATAGTCCTTAAGTCACATTCTTTCAACCAGGGTCCGCTTTTGTGAATTTGTGCAAATAGGGTCCGTTATTGCAAAAAAAAAAAAAACTTTTTCAAGGAGTTTTTAAATTGTGCTCAACACTGTAAAATTATAATTAAAAAAATTAAATTTTAAAACATAAACAGTAGTTGCAGCTACTAAATTAGCGATGCAACATACAAATATTTGGTATTTAGCCTATACTGCTGAACGCAAGATATTCATTTCGGACGAATAAAGGAAGAAGCATCTGCCAAAGACAAAATTTTGTTCGTTTGTTCTGTCTTTCTTCCTCCGCCCTTCCTAGGAAGGATTTATTCGATTAACAAAACAATAATGAAGATAAACAAATTTGTGAAGGGTCCGGTTAAAAGATAAATTATTTTGTAAAGGGTCTGTTTTTAAGTTAAAGTATTTTGTGAAGGGTCCGTTTTTATGAAAGGATATTTTGTGAAGGGTCTGTTAACGGACCCAAATTTCTTCTAAATATTCATCTAAGGAATATGCTTTTAACGCACAATGTTATATTTTTTCTTAACTGTACCAATAAAGATGCTGCTAAAAGGAATGGTAAAATCATAAGTCAAACAGCTTATTTTATCAAAAGCTTTGCGAGCAAAAATACTAATTAGTTTTTCTTAGTTAGTTGTAGTTTGTTCTAAGGTGCATTGTGTCAATGAGGAAAGTTTTGTCTGTTTCTAATCTAGATTGACTAGTAAGGTGATTTTTCCAATGGGCCAGTTATTGTCTTGAACTCCTTTCATTCAGTTTCAAGAGTTGATTGTCACTTCTAAGCTCTTGGTCAGTTAAGACTTCCACGGCAAGAATCAGGATAGAGCATGAAGCTGCAGCGATGATTCTCAAAGCTTTATTTTGAGTTCTATCCAAAATTTCTCCACATTTCTTTAGGAAAGTAGCACCTTTTGCTGTTGCGGCGTTTCTTTCTTTATTGACCAGATAGTCAGTGTCTGTATGTCTTTTTGTTTAAAGGATGAATAAGTGGCAAGCAGTTTTACCTCCATTTGATTCTTAACTTGGAGAAAATTCTGTGCGGTTTTTAAACTATGCTTGATTTTTTAGAAGAGAAACTTCCCGTATTGAATACAAAAAAAGAAAGAATTTAAGTATATTAGATTAATTACGCTCTTTATTAACATTTGTCTTCTCTTTTCTAAGTTAAATTTCAATATGTGTATGATATACTTCTGCTCATCCTATCATATACCTTGCAATTATCTAATCTTATAATATGCTTAAAATATAGTTTTAGCCTGCTTGTTTAAAAGAATTAACCGTGTAGAAGTTTTTCTTTTCTTTCCAATAAAAAACTTCTTTTATAATTTTAACTGTACCTTTCCTGTATTATCAAATTAAACATGTGCTGTTATGATTTTTTCTGTTTCTTACTTGGTGTACTAGAATTCTAGAACTTCATACATTTTTATTATTTTGGGTTCTTTTTTTGTTGTTTTGTATTTATTATTTCTTGTGTCTTATTTAGTGCTTATAATTTCTCCTTCAATGATTTTTTCGATCACATTATAATAATTTTTTCGTTATTAGTTATACCTTATTAGTTTTTTAAAAAATAATTGTGCTATTAAATTTAATCGAGATTCGGCTTAACAGTGCACAGTGGTTTAGGCACATGGCTATCATTATGAAGAACCAGAGTCTCATCTTTTGTTGCTGCTTGAAGTCGCCCAGCTTCAAATCAATGGGTATCAACTTGTGTTAGAAAGTGAAAGTGGTGTCTCACAATTTTGATAATGTTCACCAACTACTTGTCCCTAGGCCACCAACTGGCTGTTATGGGAGTGTTTTACTTTAAACTATTTATATCTTTTAATTTTTAAGTATCTAAATTTCATAGTTTTTTACTTGCTTTGATTTTTTTTAAAAAGGAATTTTATCATTATAATTTCTATGTTGTGTTTTTTTTTTTTTTTTATTTAAATTTTTTTTTAAAAATATAATAAAAAAATTTTTGGGCATGTTATGTAGTTTTTTTCTTCATATTTTTTAGCTAATTAGCAGCAGTTGCACATTAACCATTAAAATGCCTTATTTGGCCCACTGACTGCTGTTCGTGTGTAGATTTTCTCTTCATCGGAGGATAAACTTCAATTGTGTTTTTTGTTTAACTTCTGTGCTCTTTATAATCTTTTTAACTTCTCTGCTCTTTATAATCTTTTAACTTCTCTGCTCTTTATAATCTAAGCCCAAATAAGATATTAATAGATTTATTATGTTTTTAGAGAAAATGGATGTTTTAATTTTAGTTCACTGTTTTAAACATTTAAACAGCCAAGTTGTATTTTTCCTTTAAATTATTTTAAGGGATTATAACCCAACTCAGCATGATATTAAAAGAAAAGAAGAGGAAGAAATACCATCTGATGATAAAGAGATAAATGGTATAGAATATAATTCAGTTGAAGATTCTACTGATTTAAATAATGAATTTGATCAAGATTATGAACCTGATATTCCATTTGAAGGAGAGTTTGAAAATGATGTTGAGTTGATGAAAAGTATGGGGCTTCCGGTGAACTTTGGAAATCAGGTATGAATAGTTTCTTTCGTCTCCATTAGTGTATTTACCAATAACTCTCTTACCTTTTTACAAAAATTTAAATTAATAAGTGAAATTTTTAAATTATAACATCAGTTAATATAATTAATCAATTATAAGTAAAAACTACTTCCAACAATCTATAAGAAATACAAATTAAGATTATTCTTTATTAAATCTATCTTAATTCCAAAAAAATAAGTAAATAAATTGTCCAGAAATACTTTCCCAAAAAATACTTTGCAAATATTCGGGCAACCAAATATTTGGCTGAACATTCAGGCAACTGAATATTTTGCTAAGCATTTAGGCAGCATAATATTAGCAAAGTATATAGGGTATTTATTTTTGGTTGCTCTTTTCATGTGTAATATTATGATTTAAAATGTGTAGGTAAGTTTTGAAATATGGCATCTTTAAGAATGTTTATTGATTGAAACTATCATGAAGTTATAAACTATATTTGATTTTTCGTTAGATCTAAAATTTAAGATTTTCTCCACTACTTGATTGTTTTTTTCTTTTCTTTTTCACTTGGTGGGCCATGTAATCCTAAAATAATGTCTTATTTTGAAATTGAGTTTCTCGGTATGTGGTATGAAAAAGGTTGTTTTTCTGTTCCCTTTTTTATATTATTTTAGCACTTTGATCTGCTTGTTAGCTTGTTGTACTACATATTTGTTTAAGTAAATTATTTTCCTTATATGTTCTTTTATAAGTACTGTTTAAGTTTTATGTTAAATACTATTTACTTAAAATACTGTTTTTTTGTTATTAATAATAAAAAAAACTCAAATTGGGTTTCTTGGTGGGAGAAGGTTATTCCTTTGTTTTCCTTTTATATTATTTTAGTAATCCTAATTACTTATAAGTTTAAATGAATTATTTTTCTTTTATGTTTTTCAATTCTTATAAAAAAAATTTTTTTTAATTTCATTCTCAGAATCGACGCCATTACCAGAAGAAGAAAATATATGAAGATGAATTTAACTACTCTGACTATAATAGTGAATATGATCATTATAGTTCCAACAACTACGAAAATGTAAACTGTGATGCTGATTGGAATGAATACTGGAATCTGCACGGAGACACTATACTAATGAATGCATGGGTCCAAAAATACAAGGACTACATCAATCCTGATTATCTTAACGAGCCTAACACTGATCAAATGTATCCTGAGCAACCTGATAAATTTACAAATAATCAGCTTCAAGATAATGAGGCCGTGATTGTTGAAAATGGTGAAATTAATCCAGACATTCTCGGTCGTATGGATTGTGATGAAGAAACTGCAATGTCTCAAAAGCGTGATGATACTGAGTTAGAATTTTTAGAAGAGTTAAAAACACAAAATATTTTTACTGAAAGTCAAATGAAAAATTTTGAAAATGATCTTCCTTTACAAAAACCTGAATATGATAACATGTTTGCTTGTAAAGTTCCTCTTGAAGATGTTTCCCTACCCACAATGCCTTGCACAGATGATGGATGGGATGAACTCTGGTTACAACATAGTAGAGAACTGTATGATCATCATTATGAACTCTTTAAAGATTCGCATATGGCTCAAAAAGAAAAGTCTATTGAAAGGGGATATTCTGAAGAGAGCGGTATTCTTGAATCTTGTTCTAATTGTAAGAAACCTGATTGTTATCTTTGTTCTTCTGTTGACATTGGGGAATGTGCTCTTCAGTTTGAAGAGTTAAACTTAAATCCTGATGATGATTTTTCTGACATTGCTCCAGTTGTGCCATCTGCTCCCATTAGCATTTCAAATAAGCAAACTGAGATTTTGCATAAAAATCAAAACAGCTTAGAAAGTGATATCTTTTCTAGCTTACCAGCTTTAGATGATTCCACATTTTCTAAGCCTTTTTCTTCTGTAGGTGAAGTGTTAAAACCAGTTGAAGAGATTACTTTTGAGCAAATGGATAAAAGTGATGATGAACCTCCTACTGAAATGCCTATTAAAATTAAAAGAAGGTAATTAGTGTTCTTTTTAAATATTTTTAATTGCTGTGTCATTAAATATTTTTAATTTTATACACTTTATAATTGTAAACTTCCCTAATTAGAATATTATTAGCAACAGAGCTACTAGAAAATATTTTCAGTGCTATGTGGACTCTTTGAGTACAGTTACGAAGATGTTGAAAATAGCAGAGAATAGTAGAGTCTAGAATTTAATAAAGGCTTTGTTAATTAGCAATCATGGCAAGTGCCTCATTAAGATCTCCAAAAACAACAAAATCCCTGTTATATAGGCTGTATCAGGAGGGGGGGGGGATTACCTTCCAAATTTAAAATTTCAAGTTGATTAAAAGTTGCCACTGCGGTTATACATTTATCAAATAAAAAGACAACAAAAAAAAAGATCTCCAAATTTATATAATAATTTAACTTGGGTTGGAAATATGCTTGTTTGTAAATGAAAGGTACGATTCTTATATACATTCTGGAAGACCTATGTGCTACATGTTATTCAAATTTTTTTTTTTTTTTACTGTTACTTTACGTTTTAAGCTTACTTTTTTTAACTTGGAAGCTAAAGTTTGTTTTATATTTGTTTTTCTTTTTTTTGCTCTGTATGGAGAAGAATTTGATGGAAGTTGGTAAGGATTGAAAGAATCAGTAGATTATTTATCCTGGACTTTAAGTATTGATTACAATTTGTAGAAAAAGAATTGGTTCTTGGTGGGAAACATTACTTGAAAAAATATATTTATGAAGTTAAGTAATCGTTGAAGAAAATTATCAAATTGTTCATAGTTGCTTCTCCGAAATAATGAAGACATACAAATATATCTAAGACGAAATATATTTTAATGAAGCTCAGATTAGATTAATAATAAAAGGAAATATTTTATTTTTGCCATTCAGGAGTTCCAAACTAATGACACTTCATACAAAGGAATTTTTAAACAAAAAAAATAATTTATTTTAAAAATGGGCCAGAAGATCGGAAGATGTGACTGCAGGTGTATAAGCCTGGCAGGACTCTGACTATTAGGAAATCAAAAATACAAGTGGTTTGTTGATGTTAGAATAGTTTTTGCTCAAGCACTTTTTCTTATTCTGAAGCCATATGTGCATAATATGCACGAATGTGATCTTCATGCTAAACATTTTTTTTGCATTACTATTGAAAAATTTTTTCTTCCAAAGTCTACATTCCTTCCTCTTCTACCCCACAGTTCGAATTATTTTTTTTTTTGGTGGTATTATGAATAGTGAAATAAGTTGCTTAAAACAAGATTATTTTAGTGTAAAAATTAAAAAGTGATTCTTATTGAACTATTTATTAAATATTAGTAAGGAAATGTTTCTGAGCAACTTAGACTTTGGATATACAAAGAGCCAAGTATAAGGTTTTGTCAATAGCTAGTTATATTTATTAAAAAAAGAAACTTCTACATCTAAAAATTGCCCATTGTGCAGCTCTAGTGCGACGTAAATGAACTACAACAACAACTACATCTAAACAAATATATGCTGGTATGCATAATAATCAATATAGAATTTTATAAAACTTAAAACAATTGTAAAAAGTCAGTAAATTAGAACAAATTTAGGTGGGGATGAAAGGGTTGAAATTAGTTACAAATTGTTCACAGAAAGTTTTTTAAATGAGGTTTTGCAATCGCAGAATATTTTTCCTTTGAGTCTGCCTTACATATTCAAGTGTGTTGATGGAAAGGAAAGCGTGGGAAATAATTAGGAATTTTAACAAAAACAAGACTATGCAATGTATTAGGCAAATGTTGAGGGAATCCCAGAAATTCTATTCTGCATAAGCTTACGTACAGTAATTAAGATTTTGAAATCTGAACAGCGAGTGCAAATGACAATTTTAGTATTGCTCTTAAAATTTTTCAAAAATTCAATTGAGCATATTTGTGAGGGACAGACGTTTAAAAAATGAAATTTTTTCATTGAATTAACATGAATGTGAACATCAATGTGAATTCTGGTTGAGGGCTATGCCATTGAATTAGTATTTCTAAACTTATCTGTACTCATGTGTTTATTTTGCATATTATTACATTGTTGAAACCTGTTTCTGAAAAATTAAGTAATTTAAAATCAACAGTAATTGAAATGAAAAAAAGTATGTTATATAATAAGGAGCAAAATTAATTGAGAACATTGCTTGATTCTTGTAAATTGTTTTTATTGTGAGTTGGCTGTGATCAATGCTTGAATTTTACTGAATATATTTCAACTTTATTTTGATGAGTTGAACTTCTAAAAATGAGTTTTGCTTAATGTAACTGAGTAATGTAATCAAGAAGGGGAACAAGTAACAATAAATAAATAAAAATTGAAATACTTTGTTAATTATGTCAGTATTTGGTAGTATTGATTAATACCAGTTTATTGATTAATTACTCCTTTTTTTTACCCTTTTGTAAAGAGCAAAAATTCAGTTGGTTTATAACTAAAGTTTTATGAAGCATTATTTTAATTATTGGATGCAACAAGTGATTGTACTTTTGATTTGTTTTCAGGTTAAAAGAAATTAGATAAAAACTTATTTGAAATTATATTAGTTATTATTTTTAATATTAAATTAAAAATTGCCTAAAGTTTTTATGTAAATTATTAATTAAAAATTGGATTGAATAAGTTACTGAAGCGATTATGGTAATAATTAGTGATATGGTTGATATTGATTAGTCACTAACAATTTATTCCTTCAAAGCTATTTGCAAGTTTCCATTTATTTGTTAAATTTGGCCATCCATAACTTTAGAGAATTAGTAATTATTTTTGCAAAATAAAGCAATTTTCAAGCATAAAGGATATCCATGTTTACTTGCAGGATAATTTTTCTAACGAGATTATAAGATTATTTCTATTTTGGTTTTTAGATTATTTATTTTAATATAATATTTTACTTTTTAGGTTGTCTCTTGATGACAATGAATCAGTTGAAGGTGTGATAGATGTAAATCCTATAGATCAAGTCACAGATTTAGGCTTTATGATGAAACCAACTTGTATCAAGTAAATAAAAAAAAACTCCAAATTCATGTAATTTTTTTATGTTTTAATTTGGTGATCATAGTATTCTTACCTTCAGCTCTATGGTTACTGCCAGTTGTCATTCTATGCAAGTTTACTTGTTATGTCTTCAGATATATTTTTAACAGTTTTACACACATTGAAAATCAGAAATATGCCTAAAAACTAATCAAGTTCATTTTCATGCTTTGTATTTTAAATGAAAATTTAGCAAAAGCTATTAACTAGGTTGGTTAAATCATGATATTTTTAGAAACAATAAAAAAAAAGGTTTAAATCAAATCTGTTCATTTTTTTTTTACATATTTCAATTATGTAATAATTGTAATAATAATAATAGTAAATATTATTTCTAAGTAGTATATTACTTAATATTTCTAACCAAAAATAGTTACAATTCTTATGAATATTATAAATTAATCACTGGAAAAAGGAAATCATAGTTCTTTTTATTTAAGCTCAATAATTTAAAGAATTTGTAAGGACAAGACCTAATTTGTTCATTGGGTACCAAATTAAGGATGAATTGGTTTAGATCAGGTAGCATCGAAAAAATAAAATATTCTAAATTATTTTTGCCAGTTTGTTTTTCCTCATTAGTTATGTACACAAACTAAGTTTTTAATAAATTTGTGTATGTGTTTTTAAGTAAACGTAAAACTATTTTGATATAATTGAAGCATGTTTGTTATGAAATGAAAGTTATAATTAAAAGTTTCTCATCTCTTTAATCTAGATTTAATCTTTTTTTTAATTTATTTTTTATATAATCTATTTCAAACATCAAGCAATAATTTAGATAAAATAAACTCTATAATTATTACTTTCTATAAAACATTCAATATCTATGAAATCAGACTTAAAAATAATCACAACCTTAGTAATAAAATGCTTTTTTTTTTTAGCAAAAAAAATCAAGTGATTCAAATTATGCCCATTCTAGTTAGTTATATGCCGATAGTAACATAATTAGTACTATTTTTTTTTTTTTTTTTTTTTTTTTTTTTTTTNTTTTTTTTTTTTTTTGCTCAAGACATCAACCATAATGATTTTGTAGCTTACAGCATAGAAACTGAAGCAAGAGTTACTTGATGTAGAGAACATATTTATATTTCAGATATAGCAAGTTTAAATTCCAACAGTTTGATAATTGCATCATCTTTAGATGAGTGCTCCATTATAACAAGACTTGACTGCATTAGTAATTCTGTTGTATGTGAAAGAGAGCTTTCTGCCCAAAATTAGATAAAAATTGATAAAAAATGTAGTTTGACTGAAAAACAGCTAGAAATATTAACTTGAAAATCAGAACATGTACTTGAATTTAATGAACAAAATGGATAATGCTGTAAAATGGAGAGAAAAAATTGATTGGATTTTCGTGAAAATATAATATTTCATTTCAATGTTTTATTTTCATATTTTTATTTAATTTTTGGATTAAAATTACACAATTAATAAATAGCTAAAGGCAGTTGAAAATGCATAAATAAATAAATAGAGTTAAATAGTTTGGGACAGAAATTAGTTTTATTGCATTTGTCTGGAGTAAGTTAAATTATGTGATATAAGTGGAAAACACTTTTAGTAAGTCTGTTTTATAAATAATGATTACTTTAAAATAATATAACCTTAGTGTAGCTTTTTCTTCATTAAAAGAGATAAGTATATAATATGCACAACATTCTGTTTTCCCATTGCTTGAAATCGAATTTTTTATTTATCATTTGCAGAATGTAGTGAAAAAAATAACAGAAAAATAAGTAAATTCACTTAATAAAAAAGCAAATTATATAATTATGATAGAACTGAACTAAATTATATGTCATGGAAGCATCATGCACTCATCAGATCTGAAGTGTTCTCAATAATAATTGTTTTAAAATATTGTGACTTAAAAGTACTTATTCTTACAAGGATATTTTATTTATTTATTTATTATTATTATTTTTTTTGACTTAACAGAATAGACAAGATTCATGGAGTTAAGAAGTCTCGGAAAAGACAAAGGAGAAAAAAATGTCCTTTTAAAATGTTTAATTCTAATTCTGCATCTTTAATAGAGGTATGATTTTTCAAACTGTCTGGTATAATGTATTTAGATTATATTTAATATTTTCTAGCTAAATTTTAGATGTTTTTAAAAACATTATATTTTTACCAATTCACCAAAATTTCAATTTAGGAGTATATTAGCATATGTCAAAAAAAAAGTTCAGTATTTTTCAGGAAGAAACAACGGCTTAGTAAATTTATGCAAATGTGTTTAATTCATCAAAATTTTCTTTCATGAACTATTTCTGTGCATGAAACATGTTGTTAATATTTAAAATTTCAATGTTTATTTCCTTCTTATATCTATTCATTATTATTTTTGCTTGATAAGCATATGGAAATGCAATTTTTACTTATGAATCATCATAAAATTCTTTTTAAAGTTCGATACGTTGTTTTAAACTGTGACCAAAAATGACCACAAACTGCTACATACATTTAAGTTTTTGGACAGGTGTATTAGTGGGTAAACTGATGGTTAATTGTCAGGTCTTTAGTTGAAAAAGAACTGTATGAATAATCCTTAGAGTTCTCTTTAATAATAGAATTGATTACTAATGTCATATCCTTCCTTTTTAAACCCCTATCCTTTCTTTCTTTTCCCCCCTCATTCTATGTCTTTCTCTTTTCTTTTCTTTTTTTGTAATATTGACTCAGGCATAAATTGCCTTGAAATATATTAAGATTTTTTAAATTTGAGTTTGGTGAATTATAGTCTCATCCAATCCTCTAAATTCCCCTTTTTATTTTATGTAGTAAAAAATAAGAAAATAATATGCATGTTTGAATTTTTTTTTTGTTAGAATAAAAGTGAATTGGATGCAGTTGAAAGCCTAAATAATGCCACAGAGGTACTTCCAGAAATCCCAAATGAAACAGAAGCATCAAATGTTAATAATAATCCAGCTTATAAAAAGTATTGGTCACAAAGATACAGATTGTTTAGTCTATTTGATGAAGGGATTAAGCTAGATGAAGGTAAGTTTATTTAGTTTTTGAATGGTTGTACTTTATTCTAATCGTAATTCTTTTAAAGTTTATTGTTTAATAAAATTTTGTTTTAGGACTTTTTGCGCTGTGTTATCCATTGTGTAAGTTAATTCATTGTTTAAGTGTATTTAGTTTTATGTGTTATAAGTTCATTCTTATAGTCATTTGTTTAATACATAGCATCTTAAACAATGTTAAATTAAAAAGTTTAAATTCTTTATTGTCCCTTGTACAAGTGCAGGAATCTGTCCAGGCCAAATTTACTTCTGTTTAGCGGTACTTTCACAAATTCAAATTTAGGAAAAACGGTAGTTTCACAAAATACTTTTTTTTAAAATTTCATTTTTGTATCCCATAAGAAATGAAAAATCCATATTTTTACCATATTTTTGTTTTTATTTTTTAATCTAATTTTTAATTTTCACAAACTACGTCTTAAATTTTCTCAAAATAGGTACCTTTCAGAAAAACCTAGGCAGACCCCTGAAGTGGTTCGTTGTACTAACTCTCTGTTAAGGTTTTATTTCAGATTATGCAAAATAGACGGTCTAAAGAGTTTTCATCTAAATTTATAGTAATTTAATTGCAGTGGGTATTTTAGTGCCTTGCTCTTTGCCTGTTCAAAAAACAATCGGAAAATATTTTTATAATAAATATTTGTTTTTAAAAATAAGAAGAGTAATTAGAATAATTTGTTTAAAGCTTTAAATCAAGGAAAACTCTTATCTTTAGATTTTCTACATTACATAATTGCCTCTTCTGAATGCTATGGCATTTATTTTAGTTATATTAATATATTTTATTATCATTATTATTATTATTATTTTTTTTTGATGAGACTGCCATTTTCAATGTCTTGTTTTAAAAAGAAATTTTAAACGGTCTTTTTCTTTTCAATTTTATAAAGCTGTTTGTTTAGATTTATGGAATGTAATTTTTAATCATTTTATTTAAAACTGACTAGTTATAAACTTATTCAATACCTGTTTTATTAATAATAAATTAAATATGTTTTAATTTAATTATTTTTTTGTCTGAAATACTTTCTTTACACTGACTATAGATTCTGAAATATGCATCAAAGTAGTCTCTTTTCAGCTTGTAATGACTAAAAATCATCTTTCTGTTATTACAATATATTTTTATTTTTACTACCATTGCAGAATCTTGGTTTTCTGTTACTCCTGAAAAAATTGCTGCTCATATTGCTGAGCGATGTTCCTGTGATATTATTGTGGATGCTTTCTGTGGAGCTGGAGGCAATTCTATTCAATTTGCACAAACTTGTTATCATGGTAAATATAGCTTTTATATTATATAACAATGGTATAAGTCCTAACTAATATTTTTCATTGAGTCACAAATTTGATAAAATGTGTAAGTAGTATTCTAAATTTAGCAATATTACCAACCATAGAACTGTCTCTTTATTTGATTTGATTTCCCACTGTAATTTTCGTGAAGGTTAAGTGATTTTCCAAATAATTTAATAATCTGAGCTTAGGCTTTCTTCTCTTTGAAATACCTATTTACTTGGCTGTGAAAACATTCTTATTAATTCTGGTATCGGGCATTATAATTGAATGTATTAGTAGAATAGAAATTTTTGGTAACATTTTAATAATATCTAATAGAGCATTAGTTTTATAATAATTTTATTAATGTTATCTCTTCTTAAAAGTTTATTGTTCCTTAGCTAAATACTGACTCCTTAATCATAAGGCAATTTTCCCACCTTTTTTTCTTTTCTTGTTTTCCCATTAGTTTCCATATCAAACATAGTTTCTAGTACTATTTGATTTTGTTACCTCGAGTTTGTATAGTCCTAAGCTTTATTATATCTTGTATCTGGCCCTTTTGCCACTATACCCTTCATTCAGTTAACATCTTCATTACCTTGATCCACACACGTGGACCCATGCTTCTTAGCTTCTAAAAACATGCTATAAGAAAATTTATAGTTTTACACTCACTAAAACATTCATGGAAGTTTAAGCTTTCTGGGAGCAGGAGTGGTTTTCAAAAAGTAATGCTAAATCCACACACACGAAAATGTAAGTAATTTTAAATATTATATAATTTACTTATTTTGAAAATAATATTTTTCTTTTGACTTATTAGTTCAATTATCTGTATGAAGATTTTTAATTTATATTTACTTATTATTGAATGCAGTTACGAACATGCAGGTCCACGTGTGTGTACCTTGGTTACGTATTGCAAAATTTATGACAGCATAGTAGTCAAGTGAAATCTCAGAGTATTATGAGTATTTAATTTTATATCTAGTTAGTAATATTTTTATGTGTATTTAAATAACTGTTTCATATTAATGTGTATACATATATTTAACTTTTTTTTGTGTTTTTTTTTTCCTAATTTTGAAATACTGCCCAGAAGAGTTAAGTATTTTTTTTATAAGTAATGTTAGATTCTTTTCAGTAGTTATTTATTTTGCATGCTTTAAATAATTGAAATAGCTTTGAAACTGAGATCTTATGCAGTATTGCATTGCACTTAAATAAAACTGCGTACTTTTTAAAATTTATTTTGCTCTAAATTGTCATTAAATCAATTCATCAGTGTATTTAAATCAACCATAGTATAATTATATGAATGTTTGTTCCTACTATAAGTGTAATTTAACATTTTAAAATTATATTTTTTTACTTAGTTAAAATCTGTGGTTCATATATGAGTACCTAATTAATTATTAGCCCTCTCTCATTCATATTTAGTTTATTTTATTATGACTAAATGCTGTAAAATCAAAATTCGGAACTATAATTTTTTTTGCTATGTTCCTTTATGCTTCAGTTGTGAAGGGGTTAATGATCATGTGATTCAACATATATTCTGAAAATGATTGTTATATCTTTAAAGTGATATTTATGTTCATACTATTTTATATCAGTGCTTCTAGCTTTTATTTTTATGTTAATCTTCTTGTGTTTTATCTTTCTTCTTTCCAGTTATAGCAATTGACATTGATCCAAAGAAAATTGAATTAGCTAAAAATAATGCCAAAGTGTATGGTGTTGATCAACATATAGATTTTATTGTGGGTGATTTCTTTGACCTTGCACCTTCATTGAAAGCTGATGTCGTTTTCTTAAGCCCTCCTTGGGGTGGTCCAAAGTATTTACAAAGCAAGGAGTTTGATATAAATCGAATTGAGCCAGATATATATCCTTTTTTTTTTAATGAAAATCATTTTCTAGAACATCAGTTAAAGATATGTCTTTCTTCTTGAGTTATATTTATTTATGTAGAGATGAGATTAACTCATCCATATTCTATGGCCTTGTCATATTGAAATCATATTTCATTGTTAAATAAATATGCCAATGTGATGAATCTGATGAAACTCGTGAATATATTTCAGATAATTTGCTTTCTTTTGCAATTATATGTTATTTAAACAGTGTATGCTTAGAATAATATTAATTTTATTTGTAATCTAAGTTAATCATCTATATGTGTATGGTGTATATAAAAATAAAAGTTTTATTCTTTTAGCATTATGTCAATTTCATAACTTAGAAGAAAAAAAACAAACACATGAAATATTAAAGTAGCTGATTATTAATGTAACTTAAAATAACTTTTCTGTAAAGCAATAGGTAATTATGTTCAAAAGCTGATATTTTTTATTTATTTATCTATATAATTTATTTTTTATTTTTTCAAAATTTTTTTAAACATAATTATAGCCACCTTTTTTTGAATTTTGCTACTTAGTTTTGTTTTAACTCTACAAATAGTTTTGGATTTTAGATGTGTTTATACTTAGCATTGTACTTCTAAAATTATTTTAAATCTTTTGAAAGCCATTGGAAATGGAATATTTCTACCATGAACTTCTTTTTATAAAGTTCTTGTATATCTGCATCCTTTAAAGAATATATTGATTTACTACACTGTAATTTAAATGTTTACAGCTTCAGAGATTTTTTTTGTTGCTATTTTTGATTAATATACAATGTAGCTTTATTGCTATGAAACATCATCTATATATTGACAACCAAAGCTATAAGCATTTTTTAAACTAAGTAACAAATCATTTCAATGTGTTTTTGTATGTTTAAGTAAAATTTATTGTTGATAAGAATATAAGTTGTCTTGCAATTGGAACTCAGCATTTTGTAAGCTAATCTGAGAGGCAGGAAACGAGAAAAACGTTTCTTGATAGTTTTGTGACAGCTATCTTGTAAAGACAGCTCTATAAGCCATCACGGCATACACATAAATTTACAGTCTAATCTCCATTTAAAAAGCAATTTTTAAATTTTTTTAGAGAAAAGTTTATGTCAGCAAATAAGTTTACACACATTTTAACTTTTTTTATTTTTATATTATTCAAAAAATTAATCATTGATTTGTTTATATATATGAATATCACATATGCATGTTAAATTTGTTTCTTTTCTTTTTCCTTGTGAACAAAGCAATATGGTGATCATTGTTATTTCCTTAACTTTTTTTACTTATAAAACATTTGAAGCAAGTAAAAAAATAACTCACAACATTGCTCTCTTTGTGCCAAGAACTACTGTAGTAAATCAGGTAGGCTTTATTATTCTTAAAAAGTGTTTAAAGTGAGTATTCTATTGTGTAGTTATAGAATGTATAATGTAATTCTATCCTGTAGTCTAAGTGTTATTTTACTTGAATTTATTACTTACTTAATTTTTAAGTTGCATACTGAACTCATTGTAAATAGAGTGAACTAAGAAAAGAATAGCATTTTACGTATGAGAAAAACTTATTTTATGCTATAGTATGTTTTATTTGATGTGCTAAAGTTAGACACTTGTGATTTGAAGTAAAATATAGTAAAAATAAGAAGCATATTGTCTTAGGAGTAAAATTTTATTTAAAAATATTAGAATTATAATTTTATAAAAAAGTGTGCTAGAAATCACATCAGACTACAGAAAGTTTAATTAATGGTAATGCCAATAGGAATGGCAATAGTAATGGTACTGCCAATAGTAATGATATGTCATGCTCTTTTTTGTTATTGCACAATAAAAATACTTAAGAGGAGAAAATAATAGAGGAAGAGTATAATTTTTTTTTTTTTCAAAAATAGTTTTAGTGTATTTACTGGTGTTTCATGATTTTTGTTTTACCAGTACACAAGAAAATACACAGTAATGCTTGCAGTTTCAAAATTTTATCTTTTACCTTACACTTTTCAGGATCATTGTATTCCGGATTTTTCGTATAAATCTTAGGAGTTATAAAACTAGGAGTGAGGCATATGCCCTGGAATTCTTCGAATCTTAAGGCTGGTGATTCGTGAAATTGTGTGAATCACAAACTTATGTTTAGATAAAATCCTGCATGTTTAAAATTTCCTTTTTGAAAATATAGCAAAATTTGGTTAATGAAATGTTTATTCTTTTTCTTATTATCCCCCTGTTATTTTTACTAAGTTTGCATTCATGTGCTATAGCTAGTTTTTTTTATTTTAGTTTTTTTTACACAGATTAGTTAGAAAACAATTGTAAAAAGGCAGCAAAATAAATGTGTGAAATTAAGAGTAAAAAGTAATTTCAAAATCTCGTTTTTTAATTTTTTCATTGTTATTATTTTTTAATTGCTCTCTACAAAAGTGGTTATTTTATAATAATTTTTAAACTTATATTTTGAAAAGTCTGAGATCAGGTTATAGTTTTTGATCAACATAATAATTTATGACATAATCTATGAGAGGATTGTGGGCAGCTGTTACAAATTCTGATCAGTAATATTGAATATTAAACCAATGTGGTATATATGTTTCCCATTTTTGTTTTATTTGGTTGTTATAAAATTCAGATATTTTTTCATGGTAAGACTTAGATATTTCACTTTGCAAAGTTATCTTATCACATTTAATATGCTCAATTTGAGCTACTTCTGATTTTCACATACTTTTATACACTGGTATTTTTTATGTAATATTGCAACACACGAAATTCTATTCACACATCTGAGAACCACTTTTTCATACAATCAATTCTATCGTAAATTCACATGCTGTTTTGTCAATTTTTTGTTGTTGCGAATAATACTATTGGGTAGTTTTTAATTTTCTGATATCAATAAGAGCTGTAAAATTTAAATTTCACTTATGAGTTGTCACTCTGAAATAACCCAATTAGTCTTTACTGTTTGTAAACAACAATTTGTTTGTAAATCTGGTTGCAACTAAGAAAAATCAAAAAGTTTAAGGTTATTCTAAACAAAAGCTTGAGGGCACTATAATGTATGATAGTGACTAAAAGTAGGGCATATTCTAGAGAAAGAAGCTTTCATTGAAAAAATTGCCTTTTATTTGCATTATAGTATTTTTACAAGATCTTTAATAGTTTTTTGATGCTGTAAAATGTACAGGTGATAATTTATTTAATGCATTGCATTTTACTTGGAAGGTTAAATAAAACAAAATTTGTAACACTCAACTATCAGTATACTGTTGTTTCTAATGCCACTTGCCAATACTAGCAAGCCTGCTTGGTGAAACCAAGCAAATTTAAGACAGAGGGTGCACTTCTTGTTTATCAGTGGCACCAGCTTTGGCCAAGAATACACAAGTCACAGCGACACTTCACACACAAGTCACAGCCCGGTTTAGAGAGCAGATCCATTCTTACATCTATTCATTCATCCACTAATTGTAATTTTGACCTGAACCAGAGAACGATCAATCTCCAATTCAGTACCTCCTGAGGTATACACCGAAAAGCCATTACATTATGACCACCCTCCATCTATAACTATGGGCTCGCCCAGGTTTTCATGGTTTTCTTGCCCAGGTTTTCATGGGGCAAACAATGTTTTCATGGGGCACATTAGGACCCATAATCCTCATAGAACAATCCCTTAGGTCTGTAAGCTACTTGAACATAGTTGCAGACCAGGTTCACCCATTCATGGCAACAGTTTTTCCTGCGAAGGATGGTGTTAACCAACAGGATAATGCACCATGTCATAAGGGTCGAATCGTCGAGGAACATTCCAGTGACTTTCAAGTCATGTCTTGGACCCCAAATTCACCTAACCTTAATCCAATAGAGCATTTGTGGTCCTACTTGGAAAACCAAATTCGTGCTGCCACTCTGCCCCCTCACAATGTGAGGGAATTGCAGGACCAGTTGGTGAGCCCTTGGTACTAGATACCTCAGACTACCTATCAGCATCTTGTGGAATCAATGTCACGGCGGGTGCTAGCAGTTTTGAGGGCTAAAGGTGGTCCTACATGTTATTAGCAGGGTGGTCATAATGTAATGGCTCTTCGGTGTATGTTATTTGCATCAATCAGTATTAGATAAATGTGCCTTAACTTTTCAAAACGATCACAAGAAGCCATTCATAAGTTGTTTTTGTGTCATATATTTTGTACTAACCTTGAATTTTGATTTAGCAAGCAACTTGATTTAGTGATTTGAATAATTGATTCTGTGCAAATTCATCTAAATTTAAATCAGAGGCATCATGGAACTCTTAAAATATTTTAACTCAATAACTTTATTGGTATTTATGAATAAATTTTTTAAGTTGATTAAATTATTTTTTTTAGTTGGTCCAACTTGCTGGCGATGGCAAACAAGTCGAAGTCGAACAAAATGCGGTTAATAAGAAAGTTAAAACAATCACTGCTTATTATGGAGATTTAGTGCTAACGGAGGAAACTGAAGATGCTTAAAAAAATTTTTATTATTGAAATGTTAAATAAGAGTGAAGCACATTGTAATTAAACATTTGAATTCTGTTTTTATTGAAGTCATTTTTTTATGTTAATAAATTTTAAAATTTTTTTATTCTGATGTTTAGTCCTTTTTAATAATTCAAATATCTGTGATCTTATTTTCGTACAATTATTTGATCAAGCCATTATATTTTTAGAATAAGAGAAATAGAATAATTAATGTTGGAAAAATATTTGTTAAAATTAAGTTATATCTATGAATTTTTTTTTATTAAGTGTTAAATGAGAGCAAAGCATTGTAATTTGACATTTGAATTCTGTTTTTATTGAAATCATTCTTCTTTTTTTTTGTTATTAAATGTTAAACCTTTTGCTATTCAGATGTTTATTCCTTTTTGATTAAAATTCAAATATCTGTGATCCCATTTCCATAAAATTATTTAATCAAGCCATTATATTTTTAAATTAGGAGAAATAGAACAATAAATGTTAAAAAATGTAGGTTAATAATAAGTTATTTCTTTTTTAAAAAAAAGTTGTTTTCTAAATATACATTAATTCTTCATATTAAAAATATTTTTTCTGTGATCAAAAGAAAATTACTTCCAGATAAATATTTTTATAATCGGGTGCTACAAAATCCATTGTAATTAATAGTTGACATACTTTAATAAATTAATATTTTTTTTCCTTACGCAACTTTTCCTTTGTATAATATTTTACGTAACTTTTCATGCAACTTTTTTCCTAATGTAACTGTGATGCCACAATTGGCATTGCATATTTATTTTCTATCTTTTAAAATATCTTTCATTACTTAAGCTGATTTTTTATTGATAGAATTACTTTTAAAATAAATCACAGACTTAATCTTTTTAAAACAAACATAAAATATTTATTTCTTCTCTTCCAGATCAATGTAACGGATACTTTCTTTTTATTTCATTATTATGCAGACATATATTAATTCACTGTCGCCTTTAATCGAAAACAAAAATCTATTTATAACTTTTTATTCTAATTTTCCAACGGCTAAATGTTTCGGTTGCATGGTTGTAATAATTCACATAAATTTGTTGGCGACTCGTGATCGCCAAGGTATTATTTTAACTCTATATTGATATGCTGGTTGGCCTTGTTTTGGCTATGCTATATTTTAATAAATCGCCAATTTTGGATCTCCTACCA